ATATTTAGGATTTCACAATAAGTAGAATTGACCTACCATTGTCCGATGTCTGGTCTGTTTCTACTGTAGAGTTACGTAACCGTAGTCGGACTAATTGACGAACAGATAAGAGTATATACAACTAAAAGGGTTAATAGAAGACTAGATAAAAGTTGATTAAGCGACTTTTGGACTGTGCTGTTCGATATCCTGGGGAACAGTTTTTCAAGATTATCTAGCAGCAATGCAAAAATTCGATCGAACCAATTTATCTTCCAAGTGTAGGAAAACGACGTTGTTTCGAAGAATATTCCATGGAAATTCAGTGACACGATCGTGAATCAAATAGAAATAGCCGTAAGCTTTTGCACGAAATATTTACCGATTTAAGTCTTGAATATTCTGAAATTATTTTTCCACTGTTTAACCTAATATACTTATTTATTTCGTCTCGAAAATTAAGCCTAGAACGTACGTCTGGTAGGACGATGTTTTCTCTCACCAGAACAGTCCCATACCACTTGGTCCCCGAACGAACGACACGAAACAATCTTAAATCGTTTTATCGGTGCGAATAATTGGCACCGGACAGACGTAGATAACGAATCGTGGTCGTTGGGCTCGTTCGAAGGGTAAGGATGTAAAAAAAAATTTGTCAGAAGTGGGATTCGAACCCACGCCCACAGAAGTGGACTGCGACCTGAACGCAGCGCCTTAGACCGCTCGGCCATCCTGACGTGTCTCTTCGGCTGAAGCACAAAGAGGAGAAATCGACCATACCCTGAGTACTATGCCTGAGAAACTGGTCTGCACGTACTAAATTTACCCGGCAGCTAGGCGAAAATAGCTCCGTAAGAAGCGGCCGTGGAAGCTTTCAAGCAATGCACCGGCGAACGAGTTCCTTTTTTCTTTCCTCCTTTTTGCTTGGCCATTATTCCGTCTCCGGTGAACGTGCTCGTGTTGGGTACCGTGTTCTGCGACGAAGATGCGTTCGTTGTCGTCCGACAGCAAAATCTCTATCATCTTCGCTCGATGTTCGAAGTAAATCGAAGGGCTCAAATGGTAAACAATGTAAGGACTACGAAGATGGTATGCCATAGGGGGATGGTAAATTACTGTAGTACGTCATAAAAGTAAGTGCTCAAGTCGGTGTGGAGCCTATTAGAATAAACACACCTAAACCTAACCTAACCACACAGTGAACCATTCTAACGAACCAGTGACGCATAGCCACGTAATTAACGACCAATTACCCAATTACAAAATCGAATTTTCTCGATGAACGTGTGTTCGAAAATTCTTATTTCCCCCAGTTCTTCGCGCAACAAAGACGAAACCACGTATAACCGTCCCAGCAACGATTTCGAAATCTGTCCGCTTGATATTTCCCAGTACGACGATTCTCATCGAAATCATCCTCGCGCAAAATCCCGAAATAAATAACGGGGCACGAAGTTTCGGCCAAGTCCGCTGGCACACATACACCATAAGCGGCTGATTCGCTGGCTTCTCCCCTATGCGAGTGCGTAACCTTGAGAGTCGTTCAGTCGACGGCCATCTTGCTGCGATGCACTTTTGTTTTTTGCCTGTCCAAGACTCACCAGTCTCTCTCCCTCCCCTCGTCCCTTCGTCTCCTCCTTCTTCGCCTAGCAAACCGTGTATTCTCTCTCTTCATCTGCCTGCACAGCCGCTGGCTCGCCATTCTTTCTGCATCACGCTTCTCTCCCCCCTCTCCCCCTTCCCTTCTCCCTTCGTCTCCCCTTTTCCAGCAGCGTGCTCGAACATCGGCGCTGGTGTTCTCCATCCGTTCGTCCTATATGCCTCCTACCACAGATTGCCTGCCAGAGAGAATGCAGGCAACCTTCCACGCAGCTTCTCTCCTCTTCCACTCGTTCGTGTCTCCTGCTCGTCAGAGGAGCTCGTCAGACACGAAACTGGCCAGGAAATTTTACTTCGACAACGAAATCCCTATATCTGCATACTTGACGCCACACGTGGTTCGTTTTTATGGAGGCTGTTATTTAGGTAGACGAGGCAGTCAGAGAATGGTTTTTATTATGTCAGAGAGGCCAAGTGCTCCACTGGCCCAATTTCTGATGCTCACGTGAACGATGCTGGATAGTGGGAATGAACCAGCGGGTGCCACCTGGAGTGGCCACTTGAATATCGGACCTGGATGGAGATTTCTGAACAGGGGCGGGGTTATTTTGGGGAACCAGCTTGTTTGGAGCTGGGGCTCGATGTGGGTTCGGGGACCGATGAGATAATACGCGTGGCGAAGTTTCTCTCAGGCTTTGAACTCTCGAATATTGGCAATTTTGTTCTTCCATTTGGCATACGCAAGTTCTTTTCATTTCAAAATATACTCGTGGACGATCGTTGTATACGAGGAAATTTTGTGACTCCATCTTCAGGTAGAAATCATTAGAAGAATTGGTGTAAAATTTATTTGACACGATTAACTTTCTTTCGTCACAAATTTACACCGTTGGTTGCTCTGTCAGAAAAGTTAGAAATGTTAACCCCTTAACCTGTAGCTGTGCCCGTAGTAGATGATCGGACCAAACGTAAATCGGCCCAAAATTCTCGAACGTAGATCGTAGGTTAAGGAGCTAATATACAGGGTTGGTAACTGGTGGTACAAGCGGAAAGGGGGTGATTCTACGCGAAAAAAAAGTCGAAAATATAGAATAAAATTTTTTTTTCTTTTTTTTAAATTTTTCCATCGAGACAACGATCTACAGTGAGATCCGTTATAACGTACCGCACGCGTACCGAGCGAAAATTCAAAGTCGATTTTCTCGAAAACAAAGCCTCGAACGAAACATTGTTATTCTATATTTTCGACTTCTTTTTTCGCCTAGAATCACCCCCTTTCCGTTTGTACCACCAGTTACCAACCACCCTGTATATCTACCTCTAATTTCTCCTTTAACGTGTGGTAATTAAAATGCCAAAATACGAATTAAAGGATACGTTCAATTAGCGATCGAATTAATTTGTGAATTAGCGAAATGGCGTTCTCTGGATTTGTACGGAAACTTTGCAGAGTAAATGGGAATTAACCGAATGGCAGGTGTGAAAAAAGGATCCGTTTAGCTTCGGAGAACGCGTACGGTGATATTCAGTAGCTTCGCTCGAGCTATTGAGTCACTCGCTATAAATTAATAAAGGCTCCGGTTGTTTTGACGGTGAAACGGAATGGCTATTGACCAGCAAAGCAATGAACTCGGCTGCCGGCGGTGTGTCGCACAATTTCTGAAACCTTATCGCCGTTTCTCCTTCTCGCGTGTTTTTTTTTCATCGTCTCTATAGGCATCGTCGACACTTTTCTAGCTAACTAAGCATCGAACTCGATACAAAATACGAGACACGCGAACGATGGACTCTTTGTGCTCTCCGTGTGAATAGTTGACGGCACATTGTTTCGCTCGAACTTTGTTGAAAGCCATCGTAAGTTGTAGTTTTGTTACGTATAAAGTGTTGCCGCTCTTACGAGCATGAGAATACGATTCGCTGTCAGGTCAGTTTCTGATATTCGTTTGTCGTTTTTCAATTTTTCGGCTGCGCTTTGTACTTATATTTTAGGCTGCCGTTTCGTGCACATCGTAGTCTATTTCTTCGGATCTGTCGTGAAACGCGATCGTTTATCCGGAAAAGCCAATATCAAAGTATCTCAGCATCGTGAAAATTCGAAGTCAAAGACGTTTAGATTACTCTTTTATTAGGAAAGCAATCATCGCGCAAGCCGTTATTTTGATATAGTAGCGCTTAATCTAGAAATTCTTTAAAAAATCGATAATAAACGTCGACCAATCAATTGCCCAATCTCGTCTCTATATCTACCGATACATCGCAGAATTAAAATAGACGTTCATTCAGCTATCGTAAACAATTCTACGAAACGTGCATTCCTGCATATATTTCATTCCGCAGAATCGTAGACGTTTAAAGCAATATCGAATAATCTTGTAATTTATGAGTCACAAACTGATCGCGCGTCTATCGACACACCTTCCAGTAAGCAACTTCCAAAACCTCGTTCCCCTTTCACTTAACCCGTCTCGCTATTTCCAGTCTCATATGGTCGTTCGTTCATATACGAGCCCATAGTCGTATACGCGGCTCCTATTTCAATATCCGACAATGTCTGACGAAGGGTCGCGAAAAGCGTCGCGTCGCGCGGAAACGCGTAAAAGAAAGAGCGGTGGTCTACGAGCGGCGCGGCACGGCGACGCGTTGCGTGCCTCGAGGCACCAAAATTCGGTGCGCGACCAGTGATAGGGCAGTGGCTCGCCGGTG